ACCCATGACCAGGGTGGCCTTGAAGACCATCAACGAGCTGGCCAGCATGAGGGAGAGGATAGAGTTTTTGAACGAAGCCTCTGTTATGAAAGCCTTTCTTTGTCACCATGTGGTAAGAATACAATGAACCTCTCCAACTGTCTTCTCTTCCGTAATATGAAACTTTTTTTTATTTTTCTTTGATAAAAAGACAAAACCTTTTCCTCAAGCTGAGTTGGATATATTCCCATTTCTCACAGAACGTTTTTGGTTTTTGGATAGTCTAGGAAAGCAAGAGAACTTTGCCAAGTGTTTATAGGTCTTTGTTGTAGGCCTTTCTTTTTGCCTCACACTCTGTCCTGCTGACACCTGTCACTAGGCCAGTAAGTGAAGGGAAATTTTTCCATGGAGGTCACAGATGGCAACAGAAACTTGACGGGGGATCTAACCCTTTTTCACTCTTCCTAAAAAGGCAAAAATATTGTTTGGGGCCAGATATTCATGCGAAGGCAAGACTTGCCATACCACTGTTTACATGACGGCCATTAAAAACAGACTCTTCATTCTGTAATCATCTCACAATGCATAATGGTTGAGCAAAAACTCTTCTTTGGTCTGTCCACATAGACCCAGTTAATCCCCCAATTCGTACGACCATCATAATTCTGTTGTTACAAATGAAGAATCCAGGTGGTCAGTTACAGCTCACGTCAGGCATACATCTGTCTTTTGAATGCTGAAAAATGACTTATTGCTCCTTTTTTTTCCATTGGTAGGTCCGTCTGCTTGGCGTTGTGTCTCAAGGGCAACCAGCTCTAGTCATTATGGAGTTGATGAACAAAGGGGACCTGAAGAGCTATCTGCGTTCTTTGAGGCCAGAGGGCGAGGTACAGTTCAGCTTTTAATCCTATGGTTTATGTGGAAATACAAATTTCAATAGCTTTTTTACTTTGATGCAGCCATGACTGATGAATTCCCATTGCCCCCACAGGACAACCAAAACGTGACTCCACCATCCTTGAGGGAGATGTTACAGATGGCTGGAGAGATAGCTGATGGCATGGCCTATCTGAACGCAAAGAAATTTGTACATCGGGATCTGGCAGCGCGGAACTGCATGGTGTCGGAGGACCTTACAGTGAAGATAGGCGGTAGGTCACTGCATAGAAAAGTGCCTTACGATTTTTATGCAATGCATGGTTTGCTTTTTGACATATGAAGACCAAGGGAACACCATCGCATCATAAGACGACCATGAACGGAAGGCAGATTGAAGACACACCAGCCTGTAGGAATGATTGGGATAAGTTGCTTCCATCAATCTCCGTGTACCACAACACCTAGTTTCCTTTGATGCTTCCTACAATTTGTGTTTAAGGAAAGATCTAAAAACAGAATTGAGGTCAACCGTCATTATGGCTGCACTGATGCAAAATGGCTGCTGTGGTTCAATAAGGATGCTAATAGGTGTTCTGCCTTAATTTTATTCAGCATATTCCCAGTGGTGTATTTAGGTTTTGTGCTGCCCTAGGCAACACAAAAATCGTCTGCCCCCATGGACACTGACCTCCCGTGGAGAGAGCCTGGCCTTGACCAACACCCCTGCCCTCCATCTGGGAGAGCCTTCCAGTAGCCCCCCTTCCCGGCGATAGAGGGACACCCATCTTCACAGCTCCTGACATATCCGGGAAAGAGAGTCAGGCTCTACATACACCATCAAGCAGCCCGCAGCCTCTCTCGGTTCCCACCTGGTTCCCATGGTGTGCGTGTCCCGTCTTCCATCCTGTCTTCCATCCCGGGGCGGACTGACAACTCATGGGGCCCCCGGGGAATAGGGGATCATGGGGCCCCTGTGTCCTTGCCCAAACTCAAAAAAGCCTATGAAAAAGGTACCAGGGGCATCTCATGGGGCCCCCTACTGACCCCGGGCCCTCGGGCAGTGCCCGAGTTTCCAAATGGTCAGTCCAACCCGTCTTCCAACCCGTCTTCCAACCCGTCTTCCAACCCATCTTCCAACCCGTCTTCCAGGGGAGAGGTGCTGCCCCCCTGGAAAATGCCTTGTGGTAAATACGCCCCTGCATATCCCTATAACATCATAACGGCGCATATGGGTCTTCATTAAACACGGGTTTCGTGAGTGAAACCAGAGTATAACCCTGCATTTCTTATTCCAGACTTTGGCATGACGAGAGATATCTATGAAACGGACTACTACCGGAAAGGCGGCAAGTCCTTGCTTCCAGTGCGATGGATGTCCCCCGAGTCTCTCAAAGACGGTATCTTCACTCCATACTCCGATGTATGGTAGGTATGCTCTGTTGAATGGAATGGCCTCAGCAATGTCCTAATGGCTCAATGGTTCCTATAGATGTAGTTGGGAATCTTGATGAAGAGGAGTATTACGGAACCTTACGTAAAAGATCCATGCTTACACTCAATCTTCTTCAAACATAGTTGTAGTTTCCGTTGACTATTTCTCATCTCAGTTTTGAAATTTTTAGATGTGGTTTTGATTTTTAGATTTTTATTTTTGAGAACTTTGGACCTCAATCCCACTTATCCTCCAGGGGGCTCCTTATAGGGCCTTTTACACCCTAAAAATTCACATTTTTGACATTAGATGGTAATATAGATGTACAACCCATGCATGCCTTTTGTGTTTTTTAGATGCGATTTAACCAGAAGGAAAGAATATTTTTATACTCGACTTTGCTGCTCCTGGCTTGCATCTCTTTCATAAATGTAAAATCCTTTGAATATCAATATTTGGAAAATGTGCTGATAATGGTTTAACCCCTCGCCTACCGGGTGCTTGTACCCCTTCTTGCCCAGTCCAATTTTCAGCTTTCAACGCTGTCACACTTTGAATGACAATTGCACGGTCGTGCAACATTGTACCCATATGAACATTTTATCGTTTTTTTGAGACAGACCTTTCTTTTTGATGGTATTTAATCACCTTGGGCTTTTTATTTTTTGCTAAACAAACCAAAAACAACTGAAAATTTTGAAGAAAAAAAAATTTTTTCTTCGTTTTTGTTGTAACATTTTGTAAATAAGTGATTTTTTTTTTTTTACTCCTTCACTGATGTGCGCTAATGAGGCTGCAGTGATGGGCACTGATAGGCTGCATTGATAGGTGGCACTGATGAGGAGGCACTGGTAGGTGGCTCTGATGGGCATTGACAGGCATCACTGGGCACTGAAAGGCAGCACTAATATACGGCACTGATGGGTGGCACTGATAGGCGGCACTGACTAGCATTGTTAGGAGGCACTGATGGGCAGCACTGATGGGCGGCACTGACTGGCACTTATAGGTGGCACTGATAGGTGACAATGAAAGGCAGTTCAGATGGGCACTGATATGTGGCATTGATGTGCACTGGTAGGCAATGATATGTGGCATTGATGTGCACTGGTAGGCAATGATATGTGGCATTGATGTGCACTGGTAGGCAATGATATGTGGCATTGATGTGCACTGGTAGGCAATGATATGTGGCATTGATGTGCACTGGTAGGCAATGATATGTGGCATTGATGAGGCACTGATGGGCACTGGCAGGTTGCATTGATGAGCACTGACAGGTGGCACTGCTGGGGCTACACTGATCACCAGGGCACACTGATCATCAGTGCCCTGATGATCAGTGTACATGTCCCCTCTGAGGAATGCTGATTACCGGCTCTCCTCTCCTCCACTGTCAGCGTGACAGCTTGTGAGGAGAAAAATGCTGATAACCGGCATTTCCCTATTTACATGCGATTAGCTGTGACTGGACTCAGCTGATCACATGACCGAGCCGACATCTTCGACTCTTTCCGTTGATCAGTGATCCGCTGCATTTGAGGTAGATGTGGGAATTCTCCTCGCTGAGGTATTGTATTCTGCCAATGGGAAGACTTCCCGCCTTGGGAATTCACGGATCAGCTCTACCGGCTATAACCGGAAAATCCAAAAGGCTGGTTGTACAGAAGTCAATCAGTAGATTGGGTAGGCTGGTTGTACAGAAATTGATCATTAGGATGACTTCTATACAGCCAGCCTACACATAGATCGATCAAAATTTGTCCGGTCCCTGCTGCACTGGATGAATTTCAGACCATGTATGGCCGACTTTTACATTGCCTGAGATCTGGGAAGTACTTAAACCTTAACTTTTTGTGTTCTGGATATGGTGTGGCAGACTCAGGATTTATCAAGTCCCTCACCCCATTGGGGAGTCTTTCCCTTCATTTTTGTCCCTGTGACACCATCCAGAGAAAAGGGGGAACTTTGCACTGCCATCTGGGTCTTCATGTCTTTAATACAAACATTCTCAACCGATAAATGCTTAGTGGCCTCAGCTCAGGCCGACAAGGTCCAATGAATTGGATGCCGCTGACTAGTGAGGGTGCAGGCTGGGGAAAAGCTTGTCCAGACTCGGCATGCTGTAGAAATAGGGAGAGAGAACCTGGCAGCCGGACACCTTGCCTGGTCTGAGTGGTTAGCAGGGTTTTGCTCCTCCTCTGGGACCTCCAAGATTAAGCCTCGGGAGGGGGACGAAACATGTTGGGGGTGGGGTGAGCTATACAGCAGCCAGTCTATCTCTTCCTATTTCTACATTGTTGGACAAAAACACATTTTTAATGGGACGGGAAAGGGTTACAACTTCTGTAACCTCATGGAGAGATTTCTAATTCCCTAACCTCAATGGAAGCAAAGGCCAATCTCAAAAAATGGCGACAGAGGCAGAAATCAAAACCTGAGCGTGGTTCTAGCAGTTTCCCGTTCCATAAGAGTCCATAAAAAAATAAAAAATTAAAATTTTGACAGTTTCTTGACATCTTCTTGGTGCCATTTCTGTGTTATGGTTTACAGGTCCTGTTTTTTTTTTTTCCTCTGTAGGTCATTTGGTGTGGTCCTATGGGAAATTGCCACATTAGCAGAGCAACCATACCAAGGCATGGCCAATGAGCAAGTCCTCCACTTTGTTATGGACAACGGAATTCTAGAAAAGCCAGAAAAAATGTCCTGATAGATTGTGAGTATTCTAGATGTAAAAGACAAAATGCCTTAAAGTAAAACTATGGCCTACCAGTAAAAGAAATATGTGCTACAGCAATTATTTATAAATGCCTCCGCACTTAGTATCCTCTTAGTCTGCAAAGTTCTACAAATACCTGTGAAGTCCACCTAATGCAGTTTCCTGTAATAGAGTGGCAACAATGCTGCACTGCTCATAAATTTAGAGCAGACCACTCTCATGTTGGATGTGCATTCTCAGGGAAGCCGTCAGAAATTTTGGGGCCCCTTACACAGCTTTAGGCCTGGGCCTGACCAGCAACATTCCCCAGGGTCCACCCACTGGTTGTCCCACTGAATCCGCCCACTGGCCATCACACCAAGTCCTTCAGTGCATTCACTTTTATTTTAACAGCTAAATATATGAAACTGAAAAGTGTATTCCAAGTCATCAGTGCTTGCATCCCCATATATCCAGCAAAGAGATTGCCCAATCCAGAAAGGAGACAACCCCATGTATTCCATAAAGAGATGGCCCAATCCAGTAAAAAGGTGGCCCGATCCAGCAAGGAGACATCCCCATATATTCAGCAAAGAGGTGGCCTGATCCAGCAAGGAGACATCCCCATATATTCAGCAAAGAGGTGGCCTGATCCAGCAAGGAGACATCCCCATATATTCAGCAAAGAGGTGGCCCAAGTCAGCAAGGAGACATCCCCATATATTCAGCAAAGAGGTGGCCCAAGTCAGCAAGGAGACATCCCCATATATTCAGCAAAGAGGTGGCCCGATCCAGCGAGGAGACATCCCCATATATTCAGCAAAGAGGTGGCCCAAGTCAGCAAGGAGACATCCCCATATATTCAGCAAAGAGGTGGCCCAATCCAGCAAGGAGACATCCCCATATATTCAGCAAAGAGGTGGCCCGATCCAGCAAGGGGACATCCTCATATATATTCAGCAAAGATGTGAGCCCAATCCAGCAAGGGGACATCCCCATATATTCAGCAAAGAGACACTTTGCCCCACGCAGCAGCCAAAAAAGCATGGGGAGGGCTTTGGCCAAGGTCGGGGCCCATGTGGCCCGGCCCCTTGGGACACCTGGGCCTCCTACATGTGTATGGGCTGTGTCCCCCCCCCCTCCTATGGCAGCCCTGTGCATGCTTGCCCACTACTAGGAGGGATGTTGTTCCAAGGGAACCACTGAAAGTGTTGCTTAGGTTTGACCTCATATTATATGGCTTTTAGTCAATCTAAAGCAAAAATCTCAAGAAAATTGTATAATGTATGGCCAGCCTAAGTTGACCCCCTACTTATATGCGAGATCTCCCTGCAATGATTTCACTAGGGAGTGTTCCCATTCACCATTGTGTGTTAGACCACCTGCTACATTCATAGCACCCCTCATCAATGGGCACAGTAGAGGCGTGGGCTTGGGAATGCACCAAAAGTATTTGGGTTTTTATTTTATTTTTTTTTCATGGAGTGAGATGTTTATTGCCTTTACACCATTTATCTTCCATTCTAGACACAAGCTGATGCGATGGTGTTGGCAGAAGAATCCCAAAAAGCGTCCATCCTTCCTGCAGATCCTGGAGAATGTTAAAGACGACATGAAGGCCACTTTCCAGGAGGTTTCCTTCTTCTACACCAGCTACCATAAACACCGGGAGTCTACGGAGGTCTCGGACACAGAAGCTGACCAGTGTCTGAAGACCCTTTTGGAAACTCCACCTTCCCCTTCCTTTACCAACTTTTCTTCTTTACACAACAGTGCTCAGAAGGACAACACCTTGTTTGTCGTAAACCCCAAAAAGGATTCTAGTTCACAAAGGAAAGTTTGTCACACGAATGGGAGTGTAAAGCACTGAGCAGGAGGAAACCCGGGACACCAAGCCTTCACAGATGACTTTTTTTTTTGACCATCAAGATCTTTATCGCAAATAAATGCAAAATAATAGTCTCAAACACTCCCGATTGTAACTGCAAAGTGGAAAAAAAATCCTTCTGACGTTTGAAAGACTGCTGCTAAGCGGATTTAAGAAAAAAAAAATGTTTTGGTCGCTCCGAGTGTCGTGTTTTTAATGTGTTTTTTATTAGGTGGACATTTGTTGTATTAAATTTTATTGCATAGAGGTTTTCTGCCGGAGTGGCGGGAAAAGGGAGATCATTTTTTTTCACGTACTTTAGCTTGAATTTGTCATTCTATGCCGGTATCACCTGGTGCCGCTTGTCCTCCAATGGACTGCGCTGGTCTTCTCCGCTTAGTAGAGAAAGCATTTCATCGATGAGGTCCCGTGGCCAATGTGGACGTGTTGGCCGATTTATGGCTGTAGGTCCATTCTATTGTTTATTCATACTGACTGTTATCTCGGGGAGTATTTCATGGTTTTTATCCCTAACTGTCTACAACGCAGGGTTCTTCCTTGCGGTCTAATGTCCCGTACACACGATGTGAATATCGGACGAAGGATCGCCCGTTTTTTTTCGCCTGCTAGTCTCACATCGAAAGTGAAAAGGTTACTAAAGATACGAAAATTCTCCTATGAAAGAAAATTTCGAAAGTGATGTCATGTATTGCGTTGTATTTGTATTGTATTCTCAGACGACTACAGTACTGATTAAATGAAAATCGTACGATCTGGTATTGTGCGAGAAAAATGTTTGCGCTTGTCCCTTCGGATATTGCCGCATGAATTGTCGTGAAAGCTGTGTACGAACCAGGGGCGGACTGACAACTCGTGGGGCCCCCGGGCAATAGGGGATCATGGTGCCCCTGTGTGTCCTTGCCCAAACTCAAAAAAGCCTATGAAAAAGGTACCAGGGGCATCTCGTGGGGCCACCTACTAACCCCAGGCCCTCGGGCAGTGCTCGAGTTTCCAATTGGTCAGTCCGCCCCTGGTACGAATGATCCGATTATCGGACGATCGGACCTCGTACGAAAATTTTCGGACAATTTTCTTATAGTGTGTACAGGGCATTAGAATTTATTGATGCTGTCTCTGGAAGCAGGTGCGAGAGTTTTCTTGAAAGCCTGCCAGGCATAGTTTCTTCTTCCATTTTTGTTTTTGTTTTTTTTTTTATATGAATTCAACAATCTGAGATTTGCAGTGGAGAGGTAGACTCACTGGTGGGGCAGAGTAAATATAAAGAGATAACTTACACCTGTTCAAGAGACAAGTTATTAACCGCATACAGCTAGGTGGGGGAAATCTTTAAAAGGGCTGTTTTTATATGCTATATATATGCCTTCAATAGTTTTTTGTTTCGTTTGTTTTGTTTGTTTTTTGGGGGGTTTTTTTTGTTTGTTTTGGGGGGATTTGTGTGTGTGTTTGTTTTGGGTTTTTTTTGTTTTGTTTTTTGGGGATTTTTGTGTTCAGTTTTTTTCGTGTTTTTGTTTTTTTTTGGGGTTTTTTTTGTTTTGGGGTATTTTGTTTTTTTGGGGGTTTTTTTTTTTGGGGGGGTTTTTGTTTTTTGGGGGGGTTTTTGTTTTTTGGGGGGGTTTGGGGTTTTTGTTTTTGGGGTTTTTTGTTTATTGGGGTTTTTTTGGGATATAGATAGATATAGATATATATATATATATATATATATATATATATATATATATATATATATATATATATATCATTTTTTTTTTTAATATTTTACCAGTACATCATTTTATCTAGTCTACTAGTGTAACTTTTTTCTTTGCTTGGAGAGTTTGGAGACCCCTGTTCAAAAGCAAAGCGCCAGTTTACTGTCCTTCAGACTTTAGGGGGACAGGACTGCTGTGGCCAGTGGATGTAGAAAATGCCCCAGCATCAGTGGGAGTGAACAATTCCTCAGACTTTGGTGGTCAATAGTGGGGGGGGGAAGCACAAGTGGTTAATAGCAGGAGGGATAATTCCCCATCACTGGTATTGGTGGGGAGAATAATGCCCAATTATTGGTGTCAGTGGAAGAAATAGTGCCCTATTCGTTGGTGTCAGCGGGAGGAATTATGCCCCACTAGTGGTGTCAGTGGAAGGAATGGTGCCTCGTTATCAGTGGGAGGGACAGTGATCCACCCACATGGAAGAAAAATATGTTTGAAATATGTTTTTAAAATATTCTTCCCAAATATATTGACATATACTGGAATGACCTCCAAAGAGCTGTGATTGGCTGAATAGAAAAGGGGAGAGGCTTCAGGGGACCAGTAGCATGAAGAGAAGGAAGCCTGCAAGAGTAAGGAATGAGGCAAGTATATTACCTTACTCACCATCACCTAAGGGGTGGGGGGAGGGGGACCCACTGCAAGAGTGAAGATTTTTCATCCCTAGAGTTCAACTTTTTAATACAAATTTTATGTAGATTCTGTTGCTGACATTTTTGTGCTAGAATTGCAGTCTAAACCAAATACAAATTTTATACATTTGTGCCAAAAAAAAGCATTTTTTCCTGTACTTAATATGTTCAAGGCATTTAATGAAGAGGAAACTCTACTACATCCGCGCTAGCCCAGATTGGTAACCCCAGCAGATGCCAAAAGGCCAGGTAGCTTTCAGAGCAATCATGATCTTGTGATCAGTGTTAAAAATGGAGCTCATTTTAAATAAGGGTTAGAAACCCTTTTTTTTTTTTTTTTTTTTTTTTTTTTTTTTTTCCTTTTTTCTTTCTTTTCTTTTTCGTCTTTTTTTTTTTTTCTTTTTCTTTTTTTTCCTCCTTTTTTTTTTTTTTTAACTCTTCTTTTTTTTTTTTTGTGCTTTGTATTCTCCTTGATTATTTTTCCTTTCTTGTCCCAGTCACACAATGGGAAGTAAAGTGAAATCTCTCCAAATTCAGAATGAACTCCGACCATTAGAGAGTTGCCTTCCTATCTCGTCCAAACTTTAAAAAAGAAAAAAGTTTTTGAAGGTAATTTCCTAAAAGTGTCCCCAAAAACATGGTCAAATGTGGTGCCCATTTACAAATCGTCCTGTCCAGTTGGGCTTAGAAGTTTGGTCATGTACACATGTCTGCTGCTATGCTTTTATATACCGGGGCAAGGGA